TGTTCTATAAATTCAATATTCCATGTGTTTGCAAGTACGTTGTAAACAAAATAATCGTCATCATCAACAGCCGAAAGACGTCCACTGCTGGCCAAAGACCTCCCCCTTGGTCCTCCACGTCGAACGACCACTCCCCACTTGCATCCACTGGCTTACAATATAATATTTCAATGATAATAGTAAATAACGATGAATAAAACGCAAATTGTAACCTATTAGTCGTCTAATACGCTCATGTGACATTGAGCGTAGTACTGTGTGCCACTTAGCATATACCTTATATGTACTGGAGTAGATTACAGTCTATTATCATTAGTACTGGCTGGTATTTAGTTACAATGTATAAAATAGATCAATTGAGGCTAATTTTGACTGAATTAGATGAGCACAATAGAATAGACATATTTTTTTCTTTTTAATAAAGTAAGTTTTTTTTTTTATTTTTGATAGGTCGACGTTCGACTACTATCTCGCTTGGATACAATATATTCAATTTTGTAGTTTTACAACACCAATTTTTATTATTATGAATTTATGATTGTGTACTAGTTTTTCACTTAAAATTAATGAACTGCTTAGATGAAATGTTTAAAATTTTAAAACTAGAACTTAGTTTTTATTTAACTCGTCGAGTACCGGTTTTGTAGACACAATTATAGAACAATAGGTTGCGGTCACCGGTGACCGCTTGGTGTTTGACAGTTTAATAGTTTTGTTATTCTCCAAGACCTCTTGTCCGTGTTCTTCAATTACATTTTCTTACTAGTACTTAGTATAAATCAAATAGTATTTTACAATGCCCAATTACCCCCCACCCCTCCCGTTCCCCAATCTCTGAATCCCAAACAATCCTCAAATTCCTAATCCCACACGGCCGGTAACGTACTTGTAACGCCTCTGGTGTTCCAGATGTCCATGGGCGACGCCGATTGCTTACCATCAGGTGATCCGTTTGCTCGTTTACCGGCTTATACCATAAAAAAAAACATTAGACTTTGCAATGCTAATGTTAATGACTATTTTAAGTTTAAACATTATACAAAAACTACTCACATAATATTAGCTTTATGTACAGCTGTCACCTTCTTCCTCTTGTTCTCCTTGGCGAATACGAAGGCGAACTCCGCGACCCTCATGGACGCCTCCTCGGTGATCAGCTTGATGGACTGGACCACTCCGTCCACGATCTCGTGCTCAATGCCCGAGTACTCTCCCTCCGTGTTCTCTCTGATTGTCACTACGTCTACATTGTCGTATAAGGTTTTGATGCTGGAATAAAAAAAAACGTGTTGGTTAGTTCTTACATAGCATCACGCCTTTTATCCCCGAAGGGGTAGGCAGAGGTGCACCTTATGCCACTGTATAATGTAACACCCACTTTTCACTATTCATGTTATGACTCCCATGTAATAGGGGGTGAGCCTATTGCCATATACCGGGCACAATTCCAGACTCCGTGCTACTAATGAGAATTAAAAAAAACCAGTAATGCTTTGCCCAACTCGGAATTCAACCCGAGACCCCTTGCTCGGCCAATGAGGCAGTCATTGGTTAGTTATTGTGCAAACAGTTTTGTCTATGTCTTTTGTCTGGGGTTTTAGATTTAGAATAGAAAAGTTAGGTACGTGTATTGTTCTAGTTTTGGCTAGACAAAAAATTCTATGATTTCATGTCATATTATACAGTTTATTTTAATGATTAAAAAAGAAAAATTCATCGAATAGAAGACGCACCAAGGGAAATTAAGAAATAGACAAATATAAGTAATTTAAACTTATAATAGAGTAGGTTCTACAAACTCAGAAATATTTATCTAGCATCCCATAAAACCGTAAGAAGTACCTACTATATACATTTACTACGAGGATTGGATAGAGTTCTGTAGTTAAATAAGAATAGTTCGGTCCAATGCGTATCGTACTGCACGCGTATCTTGGCTAGCAGCCAGTTTTTAAAACGCAGCGATAGAGATGACAAATAGATTTAACGTTTTTTGAAATGCACGTCTGTTAGAGATAGAAACTAATATAAATAAACAGAAAATGGTTGTTATTCTAATTCAAAACAATATTAGAATTGAGTTGCTTCTAATGATTAAATATCAACAATACTAGAGCACATTATTCACACACTATTTCAAGTGTGAGAGAGCCGTGCTTCGGCGCGAATAGGCCGGCTTGATCGGAGTTATACCACGGCCTCACGAAGACCGACGTGAAATAACGCTTGCGTTGTGTTTCGTCGTGTGAGTGAGGTTACCGGAGGCCCAATTACCCCTTTTTCCCTTTTCCAATCTCTGAATCCCCAAAAATCCTCAAATTCTTAACGCCTCTGGTGTTTTAGGTGTCCATGGGCGACGCCCTTGCTTACCATCAGGTGATCCGCATGCCCGTTTACCAGTTTATCCCATAAAAAAATCACACAAACCTACACTTTTTAATGAGATAAATAGCTTTACTAAAACACAGACAGACAGACAGATTGACTGCGTATTGAATTAAATAATTAATTTATTTGACATTTTAATATTTAGTTGGCTTTTTGCTCCATCCTAAGCTTTTTACCAACAAGAACAGATACAAACTTCGTTAAAGTGAGTTGTGTAATCGAAGACGAGTACCTAAGTTAAAAACAAGGCTACCATAATATCTTGGCTAGACATTTAATTAATCGGTGACGATGAAAATGGCTGACATGGTATTATGTTGTTCAATTAGCCTTAAATTGCAATTACCGTAACCGATATCATTCAAGACACTACGGTTTCTTATAATGGAAAATAACGTCAGTAAAAAGCTTGAACCAACAAGAACGAATAGTATCACCTTTTGAAGCCAAAGTTGAATGCACTCCAAAAACATGTAAAAAACATGGCTACTGTGAGACGCCTGAATATTTTAACAATGAGAAATTCTCTTAGCATAAACTGTTGTTTAGATACGATCAGTGGAAGGAACTCTATAATACAATTAATACATGTACTGCAACTAGCAACACTATAAATAGACTCGTTAACAAGGAAAATATTAAGAAGTAAAGTCAGTAAGTTACTGAGAAAGTAACTGTTGGGTTTATAATCGATTTTAAAAAAAGGAAACTCTTGGTTTGACTTGGTATGTATGTATAAGTTTGTGCGTGATTATCTCGCCATTGCCTGAATCGACTTTGATAGCGGTTTTCAGAAAAGTATTTGTTCCACTCAGGTTTTGGTACATTAATTAACCGACTTTTGTTGTCGGTGTTTGAAGAAGAAGGTACCTAGTTTGTAAAAGGATTATCTGATTTCGAAACAGATGTATGATGTATGCAGCACGAATTGTTAGAACCCTATTAAGTTTTGATCATACTAAATCAGTTATCCAAAGGTTTAAAACTATAGCTGTAAGTTTAGAACTGTGCGCAAATATTAAGAATACAACTTAGTATTGTGTCCTTTTGGTACCTTATTAATTGGGTATTTTTCAATATCCTTGGTCAAAAATAAATTATTTTGATTTTTAAATCCAATTAAATATTCAGAAATAATTACAATGTCATTCATATATATGACGATATACTTAATTTTCGATTTATTTTAGCATTTTTTTAGAAATAAGTGTGCTATTTGATTCGAAAATATGATGACGTCATAAGTTAGTTTTTGGTACAATATTCATAGAACAATATCGTTTTCGACGTTTCGATAGTATTGAATTTGATTAGTTGTAAAATACCGTATTATGTAGGTACTTCAAAGCAAGTCTTCGTAAGCGAACGACCTCTGGGGCTCTGAGTCATTGAGACCTTTTTGTCATGCCTTTGAGGAAACATACGCTTTTATTCAAAACGTTAGAATGTAAACCTTTTAGCAATAATTTTAAAGTGGAAATCCTTTTGCATTAGTTTACATAACGGTTTGAGAATGCAAGACGCTTTATAAGGCTTCTTTTATACGTGAATAACTAGCTTGGAGGAAATATTATACAGTTGCATTTTGTAGTATATCAACAAAATGATTTTGCCAGATCCAGTGCCATATAGAGACCTATTAAAAAAATATTTCCATTTCGGTTTACCTATACTTTTGTAAATAACAACAAGACAAAATGCAATTATTAGTTAGTACAAGGATGTTTAAAAAATACGGACATAATCTTTTGAAACAACTATTGTACCTTGAAATACCTGTCTACTATTTTTTTTAAGGCGGAAAATCATCGAATGACTGCTCCCGCCTGGGTGAGGCGGGAGGGAGTGTCAGACTCTTACTGACTAAAAACCACCCCGTTCCTTCTCCTGCACGTCGAGCCGGAGCCCCGGTTACCCGTTAGGTTCTCCGCGACACCTGTCTACTATAGACTTACACGCAAAATACACACGCACATTGACACGAAGGACATCTGTCGCGTGACAATACCCGTCATTACACTTGTACATTACGGTGTTGCTAGTACACGCACACATAAATACATCATTGACATTCTAGTGTTACAATCATATCTAAGTGACATTACGTCCGCCTTTTTTACCGACCTCAAAAAAAGGGGGAGGTACTACTAAGGCACCGACTTCTAACCTCAGTGGGTGGATAACCTATCAGTACCTACTAATGATAGTTATTTTATTCTTTTTAGTTTTGACTTTTTGTTGTTTGTTATTAGTTTTTGGTTTTTTGATGAATCTCCTTGAGATAGTATAGTCAAGATTTCAGTAAGGCAATGACCGACAAAACCTTTTTCTAGAACCTTGAACAGCACGAGTAGGTACTCATGCCATTGACACTGTCAAATGGCGTCAGATGTTTAGAGATACCCTTATCAGTACGTGCTAAGTGAAACGTTGCGTTATCTCGCAGTAGTCAGGGAAACTGATAGCACATCTATATGGTTTTGATTTGTTTAGCGTTACTGGTGTGTGATGCTAACTATTCATACATACATACATAACCTCACGCGGGTATCCCATAGGGGTAGGCAGAGACTATGGATTATTCCATACCTCTTTCGCTTCCGCAACAGTCATCAGTCTTATCATGCATGCTCTTCGGCTACGGGTATTATTATTACTAATAACCGATGAGCTAACTATTCATGATTTTGTTATTGGTAGATGTTGGGTGTTACATTTAATAAGTTCACCTTAAGAGAGCCTCGGTCTGTTAGGAGAAAGGGTAACTGTTTCTCAAATACCTGACCTGACTCAATACTTAATATAATTTACTGAAACCTAGTAGTCCAAAGTAACTTTTTATCGACTGAGACGCAAGGGAAAGCTTCTTTAAACTGTCAAACACCGCGAGGACACCGGTGACCGCAACCTATTGTTCTTTAATTGTGTCGCGGAGAACCTAACGGGTAACCGGGGCTCCGGCTCGACGTGCAGAAGGAACGGGGTGGTTTTTAGTCAGTAAGAGTCTGACACTCCCTCCCGCCTCACCCAGGCGGGAGCAGTCATTCGATGATTTTCCCCCCTTAAAAAAAAAATTGTTCTTTAATTGTGTCTATAATTTGTAACATATTTAGGAAACCCCTCATTTAAGCTTCTTTAACATATTTAGGAAACCCTTCATTTAATATTATCAGTTTTAAAATGTGTCCACAACTGCTTCTGTTTAACAAGTTGTAATTAAAAACACATGCATTATGATCCAATCTAAATGCCATGTCAACAATTTGCAATATGAACGATTGCAATTCGTAATCTGTATCATAACATAACAATTATATTAAAAAAGAATAACCGGTAAATTCCGGTTCTTGACATTACCGGCACGTGCCTCTTTATCGAGGAGCCATTTATTTTGAGTTTATCGACAACTTGAGATTATTTTTATCATATCAGTATTACTCTTTTTGGTCAAAGTCAAGCTCTATTCAAATTATATATGGTCTGTGTGTAAAAGGTTAGTTTTGAATATCAAAATTTTACGCCTAAGGCCTTTCTCTCAAGAGCCATCAGACCACCACGGATAGGGCCCAACAGGGCTGATGCCGATTCGGAGTCGAGGTCTAACGAGTTACCGGGGCTCCGGCTCGAAGCGCAGGAGAAGGAACGGGGTGGTTTTTAGTCAGTAAGAGTCTGACACTCCCTCCCGCCTCACCCAGGCGGGAGCAGTCATTCGATGATTTTCCCCCTTAAAAAAAGGTCTTTCTCTCAGGAAAAAAACATAGCCTGCCAAATGCTTCAGAATATTTTTCGCCACTAAATAATTAGTCTAATTCTACCTAGCTTATAGCATCATAGATTATGCGCATAACGAGTTTTGAAATCGAAAACTTCACTAATACAAATGGTGTTACAATTTCCTACGTAACTATTAACTGATTGATAACATGAAAAGCAAACGCGTAGAAGGCGCCAAAACTACGTTTGTTTAGCGCCTGTGTGTGATATAACACAATAAGGTGTTAAATGATTATGTTTGCAGTGTCGCTTGTGCAGACTACTTCTAACAGGATTCTGTAAATATGCAGGCACTATCATGTTCTCCTGTTGAGGTGAATAGTTCAAGGTCATTACCATACAAGTGTTACACTACAACTTAAATAGTAATAAAAATTTCTTCGCGAGCGTTTTTTATTTTTGCGTGAATCTGAAATCCCTACTAGCTTTGCCCGCAATTTCGTCTGCGTGGAATTGTGATTCACAGCTCCTCCCCCGCAGGTAATACTGTGATAATAAGTAGCCTATGTTGACCGGACTTGTTACTTATATTCATGCAAAATTTGAAGTAAACCCATGCAGTACTTTTTGAGTTTAGCCCGGACATACATAAAGACAAACAAACAAACAAAAAATCTATAAACCATATTTTTGGCTTCGATATCGATTGCAGATCACGGTACAAGCATTCTTTAATTAAAAATAATGTAGGTACATACATTTTTCACTTTCCTACGATTTTATTATAGTACGGAGTAGTAAACTTGAGTAGACTCAGCAGAGACATACATATCAGCATAGAATATAGCGTTGCTTTCTCATCTCAACCACAGATACATTAAAGTTCTGTGATCTCAACCTACCTATTCGTAATGAATTTCCCCTCGCATAAAAACTAGAAGGCCAACGGCAATCAGTAATAAATCTAAACAATTTTCCTTAACACCTAACTGGTTAAGCCCTAATGATAAATAGGCACTCCATAAATCAATTCAAATACAACATATCTAATAATATCTGCAAACCAGTGCGTACAGAAGATAAAATTATACATTTACACAATATTATCATAAAACAACCTCATGTGATTGAAATCAATTCCCTATAGATAATTTTGGACACAATTTCGATAGTGCGTAATCGATTAGCTTGGATTAACGTTAGAAGATTAACGATTGCTTTTTGACTGATTACGAAATTGGATTAGAGAAAATTCGTCAGTCGCAATATTATGAATGGTCTAGTCAACTTCGCGCGGTTTCATCCGCTGTGCTCGGCGCCTATTGATTGAAGAGTGATGTTTTTAGCATTTAAGCTGCCTCGATAAATGCACTATACAACTCAAAGAGAATTATTCACATCGGACCAGGAGTTTTTGAGATTAGCGCGTTCGAACAAACAAACTCTTCAGGTTTATATAAAATTGTAAGATTACATTACGAGGTCCGGCCGTCCTAATCTACTTCTAAAACCAATGTGCTATAAATACTTAATAGTTTTTCGTCGTAAATGCATTTGCCCTTTACATTTCTATAATTGTTTTAACCATTTGTAAATAGGTAATTAATTTTCGTTAACCAGCTAGAATGTTCCTAATTTTATGAACAACTTTCTTTTCTATTTCATACTACTGCTGCTTCCTCATCTCAATTCATTAATCCTTCTCTTCAGTATAAGTCCCATATCAAGAGTAAAGTATAATTTGAAAATAATAAGGGACTTTTTGTGTTGTCGATACTATAATCCGTTTATCTTATAGATATCTTTACACAAATTATGATTGTTGTAAATCTATATTAGGAAATTTTGATAATAGCGTGAGCTGGCAAGCTACCCTTGGCCTTCAAATCATTTTTGTTGAATGTTGAAGTTGGTAAAGTGTAGGTGGGATTCCGGCGTAGGGCTGTTATAGAGGACTTGGTGCCGCTGTAGGTGATGTTGGTGGCCACCGGGTGGTTTTAGTAAGGCAGAAATCTCACACTCCCTAGTTTTTTCTCCCCAAAAAAGCTAGGCGCCTTTTGAAGGTTTTTTTTTATGGGATAAGCCGGTAAACGAGCAGACGGATCACCTGATGGTAAGCGATTGACATCGCCCATGGACACCTGGAACACCAGAGGCGTTACCTTTTTGGGGATTAGGAGTTTGAGGATTGTTGGTGATTCAGCGATTGGTGAGATTGGGGAAAGGGAGGGTAATTGGGCCTTCGGTAACCTGACTTACACGACGAAACACAACGCAAGCGTTGCTTCACGTCGGTTTTCTGTGAGGCCATGGTATCACCCCGGTCGAGCCGGCCCATTCGTGCCGAAGCATGGCTCTTCCACACTTATTTCCCACATGTTTCCCAACGTTATCAAAAAATGTCAATGGGCGACGCCGATTGCTTTCCATCAGGTGATCCATCCCCTCGTTTACCGGTTTACCCCATAAAAAAGGCACAGTTTAAAAATAAATATAGCTCCAATAAAAAGTGAAATCAACTTTGCAAGGTTACCGATACATACCTAATTCGATGCCTAACTGTAACATCATTAGTATACCTTCTTTAATGTAGATTTAAGTATAGAAATAAATAATGTTTTAAACTTACTAAAAATCGCGGGTTGCTTATGTGAATATACTGAGAAAAGCTCTACTAGTTTCGAATCACAGAGGGATTCTTCCTCATGAGCAACGTGCGCGGTCGCGGCGATGTCGTGCTGGTGCGGCGATGTCGTGCACCGTACGCACGTGAGTAGCCCGCGATTTTTATTAATATAATTTAGTATGCCTCACGATTGTTTTAACTTCAAATAATTCAGTAGTGGAAAGGAAACTAGAATATAACCAGTTTAAAAATGAAATGTCGTATGCAATTCCCTCTAAATATTTAATGGCGCCCTACCGGTCGATAGAGATCGAGTTGAATGCCCTACATGCCTGGGCAGAGAGCCAAACTAAACAACAAAGTAATATGCATTGGTATCACTTAGCAATAACATCTATTAAAATATTGTATAGTAGCATCATAATATATCAGTTCTAAGGTAATGCTATACATTATTACTAAGAAATCCACCAAAAACAAGATTATCAAAATGTTGAAAGGTTCTTAGAAAGAAATTTTGTCTAATGTTCATCAAGCACCTATTATTTTTAGGATAAACTAGCTGTACGCGCAACTTCAACTGCGTTTTTCTAAAATAAAAGTAGCCTATGTTACTCCTTAGTACATCACCTACCGGCTAATACAAGTCCCGTCAAAATCGGTCCCGTCATTTCAGAGATTAGCCAGTACAAACAAACAGACAGACAGACAACAATTGTAAAAAGAGTTATTTTGGTATATGCATTGTATGTGTTCTCATATGCATGTAGTAAACAGCGGTTATATCTCTATTACAAACAGACACTCCAATTTTATATATATTTGTGTAGATAAAGGAGAATGTAACATAAATCTCTTCAGAATTAATACAGTTAAAACAGATTACAAAGTATACTTGAAAAGAAATCTCTAACTAACGAGGTATTGTTAAAACACTCATAAATACACTTTACTGTTATTTATATATATCGAAATAGTTTTTTGTAATAGAATTTAATCCCATTTTAGTCTATGCTATCCCTCTATGTATTGTCTATGTGTGTCTTTCTCTTTGCTATAAACGGAATATAGAAACGTGCTCGCTATCAAAAAGTTGTTTTAATTAATCATTAATAATATTTACTCATAAAAATAACTGCAGTAAATTTCTCTCAATCGCAGACCTTGAAACATGTCTAGACGTGTTATCAAAGGTGACCCACATCATGTCACAATCAATTCAAGTCCAGCACAAGTAAATATTTTGGTTTACTGCACTTACTGATAAATTGTGATCCCGGAAACTATATTTAAGCGATAATAGGTACTTGCTTTGAAGAATGAATATAGTAGTATCGTGTTTAATTAATATTAATTTTCCCCGTAATTAATTAGGTAAATTATTATAAATTGATTACATATTTGATTTATTATTCATTATAAAAATCGCACTACAATATTCTTATTTGTCTTTATACTCAATTGGACATGATATATACTCAATGCTTTTAGTTAAAATTAGACAATGATTTCAGAAATGAAAAGTAATTAGAGACAATAAAAAGCCAAATCTTTAAATATCTCGAAGAAAAAGTGATGTCTTTTTCTATTCTTTAACAAACATTGCCCCACATTAGGATTTTCTCCTGTGTCGTGGGTGCGTTTACAAACATACAAGTTCACATACACAATGACACCCAGACCGAAACAACAATTTGTGAATCACACAAAGTGTTGTTCCTTGCCAGAACCAAACCCGCGACACGTTGCATGGCAGCCGGTTGTCCAGCCACCGCACCAACTGTGCAGTCATGTCAATTATTATCATTGCTATTCTATTAAACTAATGTTTCTGAACACTCCTTTTCATACTTGACCCAAAACTAAACAAAAGAATCTGAATAAATTAACAGTATTTCCTTCTAGTCAAGCTTCAAAATACAACATGGCTGTCCTATTAAAAAACTAATACTGCATTACTTGTTGCAACTTTGGCATTTATGATTATCCTGTTTGAGTCAAACAGTTGCAATTATATTGTACCTAATGAATGCTTGCATAACATTATATTAAAGGAGTTCCGTCTGAGTCTAGTCTTCTTTGAGAATAAATTATAGAATATGGTAAAGAAATACATACCCCTCCATGCTTTTGCAGGGCCTGACGTTGGCATATAAGTCGAACTCCTTACGCAGTGCCAAGTTGAGAGAACGGTAACCTTTGCCGACTGGAGTCATCAACGGTCCCTTCAGACCAATTTTGTTTGCATTTACAGAGTCAATGGCTTTCTGAGGAATACCCATCTTGCCGTCAGGGCCCTAGAAGAGGAAGGTACCATTAGTATTTTAATACTTTGTGTTATTTTTTAGAAGTCTGCTATGAAACAAAACAAAAAAGGAAACATACAGCAGATATACCTCGCTAAAGCACATCTTATTATTTCTTCAATATTCCAAATTGTTGATAAATAAAATAATAAAGAAAAACAAATGAGGCCAATCCATCAGAATAACATGAGACAGACAGTAACCATGTTTTGTAATTCAAATGAAATAGTTTAAATGGGGACAATCCTCAATGAAACATGCAATTTCATACTGCAGAAATAAAACTAGATCTAACTGAAAATATGCAGTTCAACAAGGAAACTGTAATAGTTGTATATAATTCAAAATGTTTAACAGTATTCTAAAGTTACATTTGCAGTGAAGTAATTTGAATATATCAATGAGTTTAGAGTTATATTCTAGATTAACATAACTAATATTAACTTATATACTTTTGAGACAAAGGATAATAGTTATAGTTTGATCAGTAAGTTCACCTTATGGGTTTCAATCATAATATATTCGTAAAAATACTACTAAATAAACATTTAAACATTAACAAAAGTAGTTAAGTAATATAATTACATACACTTGAAGTTGATTAATAGGCGTGAATGTATCTATACACAATAGCATGTAATAAACAACACGGGACTTACCCTAACAGCTGTGACGTCGACCTCATCCCATTCAATTGGGACTTTCGCGGCCTCGAAGATCTTCTGCACGGCGACCGTGATCTCAGGGCCGATTCCATGGCCAGGGATCAGCGTCACCTTACGTACGCCAGAGCTGTACTGGGCGGCGCCGCTCCGGCTCACTGGGACCTACGTAGCACCAGAAAATACCAGTCACATAACCTCAAATACATCACCAATTAATCACAAAAAAATAATATGTAACCTCATCATTCCCTCCCTTATGTACCCCAGAACTATTGCTCGCACCCGGCTCCAGCCATTTCAGCAGCGAACCCAACACTTTACTCTCACGAAAAGGATTCAAAAGCACTTTTATGTAATTCCTCGACATAACTATACTACTACGTCTATTTTTGGATGACGATAATTGTATCACAGCAAACCACTTAAGCTATAAGTTATAAAGGTCCATGCACAAGGACACTACGTTAGTTATTATGTAACACTTCTACCAACTTACAATTTTCCTGATAATTCTTGCAGCCATTTCTCTAATTTTTGCTAAATCGACGAGTGATAACTCCGCGGCGAAGGGCGGAGGGGGAGGAAATTGCAGCGCGGTTACTACGCATGACCGGAAACAGCTATCAAGGACGTTGACAGATTGTATAACTTAAAAAATAAAATTAAGTAATTTGATCGGAATTAATATATTATTATGACATTATTTAATTTAATATCAACATATAAACTAATAAATTAACTTTACAGGATAACTCAAAGAGTACCTGAAATCCATAAATTGACTGATTACTTTGTTTGCATCCACATTTTTAGGATAAAAGTTATTTGATAAGTTACGATTTACATTCTAAAGAATCCCTAGTTTCGTTTTTAGTAAGGTTAATTATTGTGTATTTCTTTATCCTATTGTAATGCACCGGAAGTTTAAAGCATCATGGTAACACAGAAGTCATATTGTGCTAAAGGACTTTGTGTCAACATATTTTTTTTATAACTTTAGAGACGTATAGTATTTTGTAATCGATTTAAATATAAACCTAAGACATAGGTATCGATTTATCTGTCAATATAACGTCCCATGATTTTTCAAAGGAGGTTCTTTGCGTTACCTTAACCTTACCGTTACCGTTTACCTTCATTCCTTCAATAAACGAAAACAAAATAATCTGACTTGGCGGTTTGCAAGTATAAGGTTGGCTTACGAAATCTAATTACTAGTAGCTTAACGGACGCGTATTTTATACAGAAAATCAGTGAAATTATCCGCCAACGGACTTCCAGAAACACACCCAGACATTATTGAACACGGTGTAAGCTTAGTTATAGCTCAGAACCTATTGGAAAGAATGAGGCAATCTTATATAAAATAATGAAGAACTAAAAAACTATGTATGTACTAAAGACTAAAGTGTAGGAGAGCCATGCTTTGCCACGAATGGGCCGGCTCGAACGGAATGATACCAAGGCCTCACACTTCGTCGTGTGAGTGAAGTTACCGGAGGCCCAATTGTACCCTCTCCCCAGTCTCACTAATTTCTGAATTTTCCACAATCCTCAAATTTTCAATTTCCAAAATGCCATAAATAAATGGGCGGTGCCGATGGCTTACCATCAGGTTATCCGTTTGCTCGTTTACCGATTTATGCCATAAAAATGTATTTAAAAACATGGTTCTATGCTCGATTCTCGATTTCATATTATTAGAAAATATTCTACTGCCGTCTTTAATTTTATCATTGTCAAAGTATAGAATTCTTTTGTCATGATGAAGTTTTACTACTGTTGACGCTGTCATTCATGCTCAATGCTGTCAACGTTGTATTGTATTTGTGTAATGTCATACAAACGAAATGAAAATACGGAAGTGTTTTAGTTTAGTAATTGAATAAAAATACTTCTGGCTGTGTCTTGTTTTCTATTGGTTATTACTTTGTGCTGTTATTGTATGCATACAATATTCCGTTATTTATTTCGAAAGTAGGTCAAACATACAAAATGGACCACCAGCCTCTTGCTTCGAAATTGGCTTCTTTATGCCTCATTTCGCAATGTAAATTGAAAGAAATCCTGTTACTATGTGGAGATAAAAAAGACCTGATAATAGATCCTACACTTATAAAACCGTTAGAGAGGATTTGCGGCGTAAGCTGGCTTAGGTAAGCTTCATTGTTTAACTATTAAATTAACTATATTCTCAATATAATTTACTATTAGTCTTTTATCTGTCGTATTGAGCGTTGTAGTAATATCCATTCCGAATTGTTGGTTGAACATATGAATTATGTTTATTTTTTGACTGTACAATACTTTATTGTCCTTGCATTATGCTTGCCAAACATTTGATTTCTTAAATATTTTTTTCAGACAACATGGCATTGATAAAATTTACAAAATGGACCCACAACTCGGGAGCACAGCTAACACGAATCGAGTGTACTTCATACCTGCTTGCATTATGAAATACAAATGTGTTTTGGACCAGATCTCTTCAGTACTGAGTCAAAACCCTGCCTTGGCTGATCAGAATTGCTTCCACATTATAATAGTACCTAAAGTCCTTACAACATATGACTCAGTGTTAGAAAGTAAAGGATTGTATGGAATTGTGAAGCTCCATACATTTTCATGGGAGCTCATGGCTTTAGATGAGCAGCTACTTAGTTTAGAGCTCCCCTTCCTCTTCAAGCAGTTATTTGTTGAACAAAATCATTCCTTACTCTCCAGTATATCCATGTCACTATGGAGTATGTTCCATGTTACTGGGAAGCCTAGAGCTATATTCTCTGTTGGTAAATTATCTGCAAGTGTCCTGGACATGTTGGAGATCTACAATGAAACTTATGCAAGAGACTTCCTTGATACTCACAGCTCCAAAGAAATTGGAGCTTTGATTGTTATTGATAGAAACCAAGACTATGCATCCAGTCTGCTCACCCCAGCTACATATAGTGGTTTATTGAGTGAATTATTTAACATAAATTGTGGGCATTTAGACTTAAATGTAAAAGAAACCAAATTGAAGAAAGGAAAATTGAATTTTGGTGCAGAAGAGGAAGCAGCGACTTCCAAAAATACAGTCATGACATTAGATAGTAATATAGATACTTTGTATGGAGAAATTAAACACAGGCACTTCTCAGAAGTCCTCAGTGTTCTCAGTTCCAAAGCCAAGCTTTTGAAGAATGAGGACATTAAAGCATTAGGGATACAGGAAATCAAGCAGTTTGTTGCGACAAAACTGCAACAAGTGTCACTCTTCAAACAGAATCTAGTCAACCATGTGCTTGCATGTGAAACTATCATATCTGAAATGAGTAACAAGTTTGAGAATCTGAAGCTAGCTGAAACTGAAATGTTGAACAATAGAAATAAGAAGTCAAACTTTACATTTGTTGATGAGAACTTTGGCACAGACATACATATTTACAACAGCTTGCGACTCATGTGCTTGCTCAGCTTGACCCAGTCACTAACTTATGATGAGTACAATGCTCTAATAAGCAAATACTTATTGGCTTTTGGATACAAGTACCTGTATGTTTTTAACAATCTCATAAATGCTGGTTTATTGGTTCAGCCATCAAGTCCAAAATTGTCTTTGAACATTTCAAATCTTGGGAATCTAAGTGACAGATTACCGAAATGGCAGAATGAGTTTCAGAGTGTAGCTAATAAGTTGAAGCAGCTCCCATCTCAAGCTGATAAGGTTGGTAAAGCATGTCCAAGTTATGTGTTCCATGGTGGGTATGTGCCATTGATTGCAGTGCTCTGTAATGCTCTACTGACATCTGACACCTTTGCTGATGCCTTAGCAAAGTTGTCAGCTGTATCAGACTTGCGAGTTGGAGGTACAATCCTAGAAAAATTCAAGGATGGTATAGAAACATTGAATGAAAAATTATCAAACTTAAAATTACAAAGTGACTTGGAATTTGGTTGCAAAGATGTTAGAGGTTTAGCTAAAACATTGAAAAATGAGCCTAATAAAGGGGGATGTTTTCCTTTGAAGCCTAAAACTGTGTTGGTATATGTTATTGGTGGTGTGAACTATGCGGAGGTAGCAGCTTGTGATGTGATACAGACTAATACGGGCAGTAAGATAATAGTGGCAAGCGATTGTATAGCCAGTGGGGCGGACTTGATGGCTGCTAATACTTGAAACAAACTAAAAAGAACTTGGGAACAGATATTATTACTATAAACTCATTTTATTGAACATGTACCACCTTATCAAGTCTGCTACATTTAATGTGATGTTTAGTCAGCTAGTTGTAATTACAATCTATGTCTTGAAGCTTTTATAATAAGGTATTTTGTATAAACAGAATTTATTTACTTTTGCTACTAAGTTATTATTCCACTAGCCTATTTATGTGTCATAATATGTATAATATTAAGGATAAATGAATAATCTCAATTTTATTAAAATAGTCTTTTAATTAAAATATTAATGAACACTTATAATACCTATTTTATCACAGAATATTGTTCGACCATTTTTCTGTGCGAACCAATTATCATAGTCATATAAAAAAGCTTGAAAATGGTTGAAATATTTATGATTAAATGACATGAATATATTTTTATCTAGCACATAACCTTTCATTGTCTTTTTCTGATACATTATTTAAAATGGTTATACAAAAAGCAATTTCTCACACATAAAAATTATTAGACACATTATAAAATATTGATACAAAATTATTTAAGTCAGCATTTAAATAGCCAATAAGTCTATAATGAGAACCGCGCTTTTGTCGCAGGAACTAAAGTCTTATGAACCTTATTTCAAATGTCTGCATTGTACAAGTTCAATATAGCCCATCTTATAGGCGATGTCAGAACTTTTGACAAGTTCAGAGTAGCCTAGGTCAAAAACAGATTGGGAAAAACACATTCACAATCCCAATTATCTAGAGTTCAGTTCCTTGTGACTAACAAAGCGCTGTGTAAAAAGTTTGGCCTATTTCCTCCAATACTGTGCGAATTTATGGAACTGTTCGACTAGTACGGCCATGACTGCCGTCACGGACATGTCCAGTAGGTTTTGTAAGTAGTGTACTGCCTCCTCGTCACCCAGGTCCAGCCTGGAAGAAAAAACAGTTTAGATATTAAAACTGTAAGTAGATTATGTCGTAAATAACTACAAAAGTGACGTCATCATAGTGAAAACAGTTTTGTTTGGTTCCCTAGACGGACCAGTGTCTTCCGCTCTCTTCTATCAGTTCCTCATTTGCTTACACAAATCTATCTATTTTTTACTGATAAAGTGTAGACTTTACCTTAGTTTATCCTGTACTTTCTTGACCGCCTTGTCAGGTTCCAATGCGATATCCGGCACTGACGCGTCCACCATCAGCGAGAACAGGTTCAGCATTAGGTTTGCATGTCTGTAAAACAAACATGATAATTTTTTGAATGCCTAATCTCAATTATATTAATTAGTTAGTTGTATGGTCGCAAGTGTGCAATGGTTGGTCATGGAACCAGACAAAGGTTAATAGCAAAATGTTCAAACAAATTATAATTAAGGTACAAGTATTTTTGATTTAGAATAAGACGAATCTTTTTCTTAATTAATCCCTATATACAATTATCTACTTCGGTAGATGTTATAATTACCAGAACCCAATTAGCACTACTTTTCAGATTTGACAATTGGACACACGACACGAGTCGTTGCTCAGCAACTGAGCACCCAGTTACTGCGCAATATATCGCAAACAAGTTACCTAACTCCATTTATGAGGTACTATAGCTAAACATCCACATTTTTAAATTTAGACTTAGAAGGTTACCTGCGCAGATGTAGGAATGCAGTATAGCATTGCTTCCTGAACTCGTGGTAGTGTTCCGAGTGCACGCCCCCCATGGCCTCCACCATCTCCTTGCTGAGCTTCATGGGCGGCGGCAGGGGCTTCGGGTCGCGACCCAGGATGTAACCAAAGTCTATGTGGAACAGGGCTCCGCTACGGGTCAGTAGCAAATTGTCCAAGTGACGATCGCCTACACCTGGAATTAAAAAGTTTTATTTAAAATGTGATTTTCGGAATATTGTATGGAAAAAGACAAAATATGGCAGTTGCTACTAGGTTTTCTTCTCTGGTTTATTGAATTTATTGAAATCTAATATTTTCGTACAAAACGTTGCAATCTTGTAGACAGTGCATTTCCTTTACTGTTTCTCATAATTTTCTTTTTTGATAAGTTTTTGAAATTATGGATAAGTATTCATTTCATTATGTTTTTAGAAATTTTTACCTTTCTGCTATTATACATGAAATCATTAACATAAAATAAAATAAACAAAATCAACCACTTACCAAGTAAATAAGTAATAACGCAGTAACCAGCGCAGCTTCTAATATACGTGTCCATAGTTTCGGGCTTAATACCGTAGGGGGCGCCCTCACACGGATTATGCTTCCTGAAGAAATTCTGAATACTGCCCTCAGTAGCCAACGCTTCAGCCACAGTCACCGACTCAATAAATTGTAGAAAACCATGTTTTGAACTAGTAGCTAAGACTTTGTATGGAGTCAGTTTTAAGTCTAAGTTTTCTCGTCTTAACAATTTGTCCATTAAAGTGATCATTTGTAGTATAAGTTGATCTTGTCTTAGATCGTCTCCATGCTTGAATATGGCTTCGTATTCGATTCCTTCTGTTGTCAAAAATGTTAGTTTTGATGGCATTAAAGCTGATTTGAATAGACTCGCCTTTTTGGCTACGATTCCTGTTGAAGGGAAAAAATCGGTTTGTTAGTAAGAGCACCTATAGATTGAAAAAAAAAAAAAATAGGAGGATTTGATTAAACGTACACACTAGGATTTCCTCATGTGTCGTGGGTGCGTTTACAAACATACAAGTTCACATACACATTACACCCAGACCCGGAACAACAATTTGCGGATCAAACAAAGAGTTGCTCCGTGTGGAAATCGAACCCACTACACGTTGCGCGGCAGCCAGTTACCCAGCCAACGCACCAACTGTGCAGCACCAGTTTGTTCTCAGTTTTATACAGGTTTTCGAGTTTCTAGTACTTAGTACGAAAAGACTTTACTGAATGCGTTCTCCAACTTTGACAGGGTGATTTCAGCTCTCTATAATTCCCTGCAGTTTCTAAGAGATTCCTACAAATTGAAATCCTCCATTTTCGTTTAAAACATAACACACTACTCTATATATATTTTCAACTGTTGTTTGAAGTTTTTGCGTTCCAAAACTTACCTTTAATAGTAACATTAGGGTCTAGCGGGAAAGGCATGGGTTCGAAGTTGGTGAAGTTGTATTTGAAGGCGTCCGGGTCAGCCAGTAACTGTTGCAGTCGCTCAGCCTTCTTCCCCCGGGAGCCACTCTCCCTGGCGATGCAGCGGACGAGGCGAACTAGTTTGTCAATGAACACTTGCTGCCGAGCTAGGAATGACCGAGTTCGTTGCTGTTCTGCCGTGCCTGGAGGATTAGAATAGTTTTTACAACAACTCAAAACAATTCACGATCAACACTTATCACAAATTCGCATCTATAAACTAAAGCCACAAGGATGTAAAGTAATCAATAAATATTCCCTTAAATTGCCATCAACTACGACAGCCGACACTATTATACTTATGGTAGTATTATGAGGAGTTTACTCATAATACTACCATAAGTATAATAGTGTCTTAGTATATATATAAGTATAATAGTGGTTTCCACCAAGCATATTGTTTCGATATGTCTTAAATAAATAGATATTCGGTGACCTAACTGCGGTACCCAAGTCATCGTCCAAGTGCGGAGTTTGCTAAATAGGAAATTTTCTCTTAAGAGGGACATAACATTCTGCAGTGGATATAATATTCTGGCTGATAATCCTGTATACTACGTACCTTTAGCCAGTCGATGGCTGAACGTCCTCATGACAGCGAGGTACATGGACCGTGCGGCCTGGTCCCGGGCCTGGTCCTGGTCCTCGCACTCGATGAGTAGGTACCAGTATAGATAGTTGGCCACTACACTGTTGTTGCACGCTCGGGAGATCAGGAACGATGCTAGGGAGAGACGCTCCTCTGTCGGGTCTGATTGCTCACTGTGGGATTTGGTTTAGATATTAATTAACCTTCCGCGAGACACAATGTATTTTCTATTGAGTCTCATATCGGTGCATTCAAGCGGTTAATGTGCATTTAGTCAGATCGTGTATGTGTACAAAAATCATAGGTAGTATAAACAGACACAATAAGTAATCATGTCTCTTAATTCTTGTCAATTGTTAATGTTGCGCATTGTCAGACACAATAACTATTGTTGCGCAATGTTTGTGCAAACTGCGCAAAAATATATCCATTTCACTTAAAAATGGTTGTCGTCTAGATGTTGCAAGTGCAAATATTATACTACTAGGTGTTCGCGCTATATCTTTCAGTTATTCGTGTTATGAAATAATGGCCAACTTAGATTAAATACCGTAAAACGGGGTGAAGAGAATTCGAAGGGTGAATAGATACATTAATGGGGTGGATAAGTATTAGAATATTTTCCCAACATCTATTCACCCCTCTTTTGTATCTATTCACCCTCGAATTCTATTTACTGTTTTACTGTAATGCATTGGACAGTCCAGTAAAGAAGCCTAAGAGACAAAATATTATATTAAACCAATTTAATTAACTAGATAACGAATGTTTTCTGTACACAAATAAAATAAAAAAAACAGTGATTACCTGAATTCATTATTATTATCAGCAGTGGAGTTGTTGTTTCCGCTGACAGTGTTGTCGAGTGCGGGCGCGACGTCGTCGGCGCCGTCCGCCGAGCGACGACTTGTTGTCGATGACGTCATGTCACTCACTGTCAGTACTACACAAACACATACTCTAATCATTTGTTCGGAGGAGGATAGTGGGTTCAACAATATTTATATAAAATCACACTTACTTTTGTTGCATTATCAACTTATAGATGCGAAAGTAAGTACATAGTTAAATAGATTTCTAATACTTACTTTTCTTTAGTTATTATGTTGCTATTGAGTTAGAAAATAGATAGGCAAACAAGATCTTTAGGGACAGGACCTAATAATCTTGTTTTGCATAGAAAACGCACTATTTAAAAACCAGTCGGTGTTCAAAATGTGTGCTAAACATAAACTTTTTGCTTGCTCAGTCTGCTGTTGATGTCAATCTAGTTTTGGTCTGACATTATTATTATTACTACTAGTCAGTTAACTGCTCACGGCTAAATTGCTTAGGGCCGATTTTACCAATGTCAGATAAATTTTATAAGACGAATAACTTTCAATATTTGACAATTTTTCCCTACTAAAAACTGTCAAATGTCAATTTTATTCTACATTATAATCTGTTGATTGAAAAATCAGCCCTTAGACTAATGGGACTTAAGGCTACGCTTGCGCTAAATTTTTGCGCAAAAAATTGAATTAGAAGCGAGAAACTGGCAACTATTGTTGATAGAAACATACTGCAGTAGGTAATTGAAGAAAGAAAGAAGGATGGAAATATAGAAGTAATGGTAATGATAGAAGAAAGAAAAACAATAATGAAAGAAAGAAAGATAGAAAATAGTGATAGAAAGATAAGAAGTAGCGGAGAAATGTTGGTGGTATAAATACCGGAGGCAGACAGTAGACTGGCCTGGCTGGCTCTATGCGCGCTGTGCATGAGTCTCTCCCTCCCCTCCCTGCCTTCACGCTCCAACTCCACAGACTCCTTGCCACACACTCGGGCGTACTCTGTGTATACCACACTATCATATTTTAATATTCACTGCAGACTTGATATTTATTTCTCCTTTACATTTGAAGGTAGAGGTTGATCTTTAAAGATGATTTCCCAAACGGAAATCGTAATGGAATTACAATCCCTTGCTACCATTTGCTCCCCCAATGGTAAGTAGACAATGGATTATAACATAACCATTCTTCATTTTATATTATAAAACTTTCATGACACAATTAATTATTACGTTTTACGGCTTACTCGCCTAATTATTTGACGAGGAACTCGACTAGTTTAAAGTCTGTCGACTGTCTACAGTCCGCGCGCGAGCTCCGAGGAATGTTAAGGAATGTTGACGTAATGAGCTAGAGTTGTGAATTAGTCGATATTGTGCTATCGATACTAACACATCTTAAGTCTCCGCGCGAGTGTAAATTAAGAAATAATTCTATGAGGGTAATATGTATTTGAAATAAAATAAAACAATTGTATCACGTATGTATTTAATTTAATGAACTGATACTTAATGAACAAATAGAACGTAAAATCCAATTAATCACTGTCGAAATCAGAATTATCAGTACTTGAAGAATTTGATGTACTATCGTCACTCTCCTCACGTACTTCAATAATAAATGAGTCGACAACATCCTCCATTAAGCCATCCTTTTTCCAGTAATGTTCCTCTAATGCTAAGACATGTTTATCATATCCACACCAATCTGCTGTTGTGACTTGCGTGATAGCATTTTCGGTAACCTCCTTCAGTCTCACCAGAGAAAAATCAGAAGTAATGTTATGTTCCCTCACGAGCCTTTTAACTTTTGCCCATGCGAGCTCTATTGGGTTCAAGTCGCACATATAAGGCGGTAATCGCAGTACATCGTGACCATGGCCTTTTATGAGTTCGTCCATTTTAAATGTTTTTTCTGGAGTCCTGTTTTGCTGAATTAAATCATATAATTCAACTTTCCTCATACTGAAACTGGCCTGTACTTTATTTTTGGTTAGCCAATCTAACATAACTTGTTTTGTACTAGATTTTGTGGGCACCTTATTTTCTTGCACGCTATGATAGGGGGCATTGTCCATCACTACAACGCTGTTTGAAGGGAGGTTCGGTAATAACATTTCGTTAGCCCATTTTTCAAAGTTTACATTATTCATCTGCCCATGATAGTCGCCGGTGACTGTGCCAGCTTTAAAAAGCAGTTTGGCTCCGTCTAAAAAGCCGCTTCTCGATCCCGCATGGACTAAAATCAATCTGTTCGAAGAGCTCGTATCAGTCAATATTGCGTTTATTTTATCGTCTCGCCAACATTTTTTATACGTTAAATTGTTATCAATCCATGTTTCGTCTAAGAAAAATATTTGGCGATCATTTTGTCTAAATTGACGTATTTTTCTTAAATAAATAGATCGAGCATATATAATATTTGGCCTCTCTATCAAAATTCTCCTTTTGCTATGACATTTCTGCCACTTATACCCCATTTGTTTCAACAACTTTCTCAGGCTAGTTACACCCCAAGGAAAATCAATTTTCTCCCGTAAAGCCAACAAAAGTTTTTTGCAAGTTGGGACGACCTTTTTGGTCAAATAAAACTCTTCAATGCAACGATGAATTACTTGACGATCAAAATCATCAACATTTAAATCTTTGACTCTCGGATACTTCTTCCCTTTTTTAGATGGCGATTTCAAATGTCCTTGCTGGTCTGTAGGCTCTTTCTTGATTTTACTTAACACACTTTTAGACAGACCTGTGTAATATACTGCTCGATCAAGTGCCTGATTAACAGTAAACGTGAAATGGTTAGATCTTTTTTCTTCTTCACACATCGAAAGAACGTGTTTCGCCATTTCGCGGGCTTGCCTTCGAATAATAAACGATTTTTTTCTCTGCCTGTTGTCACTGCTCGTGCTCGCCATTCCTTTTTTTACCAAATTAAATTGCGCTCACAAAAAAAACTCACTAGTACTACTTATAGTTCAACGAAAGTACAACTGTTATCGCAAAATTAAAAACAACGATTCGACAAGCGTGCTCTCGCGTCAAGGTCGACACTAGACTGGGATAGTGCGGGGTATGAAGCGACGGTCGGGCGCGGCGCACACCCGCCCGCTTCCGCAGCCCCCGATTCCTCGGAGCTCGCGCGCGGACTGTACAGTCGCCGCGTCGCGGGTCGCAGATATCTACTCATGAATATGAGCCTCTAGAATGGTTTGAAACTAGTCGAGTTCCCCTTCTTTATTTTATAAACTTCCACCATTATTATATTACTCGTAGCTCCTTGAGATGAGTGCCCTGTGCGAGTTTGTTTTACTTTAACGCAATGGGGCCTACCGTCTCATTGCTCATTAGTTAGGTATAGTATCAACTTTCGTTCTTCGTCCAATAAGGAATTAGCTAGTATCACGCCATTGGACGTTCATTATTTGACAGCTACTCTGATTGGACAAAAAACCCGTTCGACATTTGATGAGCAAAAAACGGTAGCTCCTATTGGTACATTTATGACGTTCAATTATCAAATCAAATCAAATATCTTTATTGCTGAACACGGTACATTTAGATGCATTTCATGATGTTAGATGAATGCGCAGTTCATCATGTTCCACCAATCAAGGCATGCAACTATTATTCGTAAATTACAATTGACTAGTTCTAGATTACAGCAATTTTATTAGTTATGAGTTCAGTCAACACTTTACAAGTTATATCGGCCTGCTGGGTAACTGATCAATCGATTTGATTGCGTTAATGTATAAATAACTCGCACTCGGTACTCTATAAATGGATTATAATAAAATCACACCACATTCGTGATCTCTCTCCTTATCTCAGTTATGTTATCTTGAAATCAAACCTTGTTGCGTATAACGAGATTTGATTTTAGATTGGACTATAATTAAGGATGTTGTATGTTTAGTAGACAAACAACTCATTTTCTTGTTATATTATTAATAACTGAAGATGCTTCAAAAACCCCCTAAATAGTAAACGAATTTTAAGACCAATTCCAGTCAAGTTTCATGTCATCATGGACTTGGTTAATCAAGTCAACACTAGATACAATCAAAATTAATCAGTCAGTCTCCCAACTACTCAGAATTGGATATTTTTTATTGAGTTTCTTTTATCAGGAGACTTGAGTTCATAGACTAGGTTGCAGTGTAGTTACACCTTACCGTCATGTATTTCCATAAAGTCTTCATACTTGAGTGCTTGTACCAGTTGTAAGAGGTACAACAGTAAATCATCGTCAGGTGCCTGCTTCAGACGGGAGATTGCGTACCTAGACAAAATAAAAATAATTATTATATTTACACTAATATTATAAAGAGAAAAGATTTTATTTATTGTTCGTTTGAATTGAATAGGCTCCGAAAAACCAAGATCGATTTGAAAAATTCTTTTGCAATTGGAATCCTACATTATCTGTGTACACATAGGCTATATTTGAAAAGAGAATAAAAAAACGGAACCGTGTAAAATTTTGTTAATGTATCCCGATTTGTGAAAAATCTACCAAAAAGATACTTATAAGAAAACCCAAGTACTGCCAGAAGTCATTATTCTACGCGGACGAAGTCGCGGGACACACCTAGTTCCATATATTTATGTAACTTAAACTGTCAAACACCAACCGGTCACCGGTGACCGCAACCTATTGTTCTATAATTGTGTCTACAAAACCGGTACTCGACGAGTTAAGGTGCTCATGAGGACATTTGTCATCATCCTTATTCTTACTGCGAGAAAGAAACGATTGATTGAGTCTCTGAACTTTGGACGTAGACAGGGTACCTACCAGTGCTCTCTAATATTATGTAGTCCCTTAGTCGTCTAGGGACCTGCGGGAAGAGCAGGGCTGGTGTCAAATGCATTCTAAAACATATACGTACTTTCTAACAGCGGGATGCGTAAACTTGGGTGTCAACAACTCGAGCGCATCTTCAACGTCCATCGGCGCCCATTGCTTCATCATAGACAGCGCCTGACGGACTTCCCCTGTAACCAACATAAACACATTTATTTTAAAAGAGAAGACTTAAATTAATTTTGATAAATATTTAAGCGGGTTTTGTGTGTACTTTAAATTTAAATCAAAAAATGTTCTTTAGTCATTCAAACAGGGTTTCGGTTTCGTTTTGTGGGGTAGTATTTATATTTTACTAGTTTTCACCCGCGGCTTCGCTCGCATCTCAAAAGGGTAAAAAGTAGCCTGTGTGACATATATCAACACACACAGCGCCATCTATACCAACACTTTTATTTTCTCTCGGGAATATCAATTTTTTCCGGGATAAAAAGTACCCTATTATTTAATCCAGACTTCTAACTTTACGTCTACAAAAATTCAAAGCAATCGGTTTAGTAGTTACGGCGTGAAAGCGGGACAAACAAACAAACAAACTCACTTTTCCATTTATAATATTAGTAAGGATTTAGCTACCTATTTAATGACAATAAAAACAGATTATAAAAGTATCTATCACAAAGTGAACATTAAAGTGTCTATAACACATCAAGAGATTTAATGAGAAGAAAAATGTGTATTATTATAAATAAGAAATACTTTACTAGGTCACAGCAATTCTTACAATACTATTTCCACAAGTATAAGGTATTCATGTAGCTCTTAAGTTATGAATATAGGTAATCAGCTGAATAAATATAATTATTCTTATATAGCGTTGATTATTAACAATTTAACATACCCTTACATCGTTGGCAACGCATTCTCATGTGTTTTATAGCCACCGTACACATTTTTATAACAAAACTGTCAACTAATATTTTCACAGTTCAAAGGAGAAGCCACTGAGAGTATATTTGGTAAAATAAATATGCATAGTGTTTCTTAGCCTATATCACTACTTATATCTAGTGTAAGAATGACTTAAACCCATTGCTCCGTATACACATGAAACAAAGATAATTAAACAAACGCGCGTACGCATTCATAAAAAAATATTAATTTGATTTTTTAAGTAATTAATATAAACAGGCGTCCTATTTCTAAACAATGCCAGTCTTAACTGATTAATGCAGTCAATATTTGTATCAGTTAACCTTAGAAGTCCTAACTACAGGCAGTTATCTAAACTGACCGTTGCTGTGACTAAAACACACTTTTTAAATATAATTAGCGTTAAATTGGTGACAATTAGAGAGCAGGTATTACTTTTATTTATTTGAAGTAAAATCATTCGATGGCTTCTCCCGGTTTGGGTGAGAGTGTGAGACCAGAGAATGATTCATACTGTTATTCATTTATTTATTTTCATTTAACCATCACCATCTTAATAAGTAAAAATGAATTTCCGTTCGTTAGTCTCTATAATACTCAAGAAGAGCTGAATAGATTTGGCTAATTTCGGTCTTGAAATGTTCGCGGAAGCCAAGGGAAGTTTGCTAACATAAAAGACAAATATAAAAATAAAATCTTTAGGTACATGGGTGGTCTTATCACAGAATGCGATTTCTTACTGACAACCTTTGGAGAAAACCAGTAATCTTACTGACTAGAAACTCCGTTCCTGCTCCTGTCTAGAGCCGGAGCCATGTTGATCCGCTAGGTCATCCAAAGCTCCGGTAGAGTAGGTATTATTGGAGTTTTTTGAAATTATTCGGTAAAAGTATGGAGTCTGGAGTTGTGCGCGGCGTATGACAATTAGGTCACTCCCTATTATATGAAACTCCTAACATATCTAGTGTAAAGTGGATATTGTTACATGTATGTTTAGTCTGTATCAACATCACTGTTTAGTGAGTAGTGGCCCCCTCACTATGATGTGTTATGTAAGGTAGGACACTCCTCATTAACGCCGCTGTCTACCTGTCATACTCTACTGTGGCTACACGTCGTGCGCCCTGCACATTATCGTAATAAATACAAGTAATATAAATCCGACTATAATTTATTAATCCACCAACATAACAGATATAATTGGAAATTGGATATAACATGTACCTCTTTCTAATCTACCAGAGATAAAAAATTACTTAATTAAAAAAACATAAGGTTAAATAAAAAAGTTCAACGAACACTACAACACAGAATTGATACACGAACGTTCAACCATTACTTGATAGATTTAATACATAATTAAATAAATAAAAACAACATAAAAAAAATCACTCACAATCACAAACATGTTTAGATTTACGCAAAATCCTAAGTTCTGTTTCAGTTTTCATTTCTATAATACACTTTTAACGAGAACTTTTTAACACTGGCATACTCGTCTGTGTGAAGCATTTCACCATAACTGAACCGACTAGTTAACCACGTGTCAACAAGGTAAACAAGTTACATTCAATAAGTATAAAAATATGCTAATTTGTTAGTATTTATAGTGACGCAACTTCCATTAAACTTTAGTTGATTTTAGATTTTATTGCTAAGTTGTTACGGTGTGTTTTTTATTGTTGTGAGATGTATGTTAATGTGTTTTTTGTTTGTTTGTTAAGATCGGTATGGGCGTATGAAGATTTGGATGAGAAAATGGAGTTTAGTCTGGATTTTTGTGTTAATTAAGGAGATTAAATAAGCTTTTATTGTTACATTACTTCTATTGGGGCCATTTTAAAGCTAAATTGTATTTGTGCGGATTAGAATGTTTGTAGATTATCCGATCGATTAAATTATATAACTGAACATTAGTTTAGTTTAGTTTAACATTAGTTCTGACTGTCTGATATGACCATATGATTTAGGGCCGATTTATCATTCATCAGTTAATTAGAATAAAATTGACATTTGATAATATTCAGTGTGGAAGAATTGTCAAATATTCAAAGTTATTCGTTAGTTAAGAATTAACTGATGATTGAAAAAGTCACTGTGACTACCTCGTTGGCAGAGTGGTCGCAAGCGCGACTGCCGGGCAAGGGGTCTCGGGTTCGATTCCCGGGTCGGGCAAAGGGAAAGGGAAGAAGGGTGATTCAATGTATTTTCTATTTTTTTATATGTTTCATTGGCCGACGTTTGGGTTAAGACCCATCGCAAACAAAAGTATTACTTTCGAACTACAGTTCAGAGGCCTTAGTACAAGTTTAATTTACGTTTAAAGTAATCGTAATGAGTACGCGTTCGGCGCTCTGATTGGTTGGTTCATTGGCGCCGGCCAATCAGAGTGCCGAACGCGTACTCGTTACGATTACTTTAAACGTACAATAAACTCGTACTAAGGCCTCTGACATAGGTATGTAAAAGGATCAGACCAATCAAAAACCAACAATCTTTATTAAACCTTAGTTTACTACTTCTGGACACAAATTATACGCACATTTATATTAACTATGATAATATTATTTGTGTTAGGAAGTAAAGCAACGTCTTAGATTACGGTTATCGTAAAAGAATCCATTGAAGTATAAAATATTTAAGGTCAGTATTCGACATTATTATCTAATTAGGCCTGAAATATAAAGAATCGGGTCTTTATTTTGTATTTGACACGTGCTAGATTAGATTAAATGCCGTAGTCATTTATTATATTATAATGTTATTTTTTTATTAACGGAGAATGTTACGTTCAATTTAAACTGTCAAACACCAAGCGGTCACCGGTGACCGCAACCTATTGTTCTATAATTGTGTCTACAAAACTGGTACTCGACGAGTTAAATTACATTCATAACATCACTCCTTTTTATCCCCGAAGGGGTAGGCAGAGGTGCACATTACGGTACTTAATGCCACTGTACAATGTAACACCCACTTTTCAATAATAGGGGGTGAGCCTATTGCCATATACCGGGCACATTTCCAGACTCAGTGCTGAATTTTAAATTTATGTTAAATTACTATTTATGTATTACTATAAGATACATTAAAATGTGTGCGAATTTGACTGTTATTGGATGAATTCTTTAAGCTGATGACTCAATGTACCTACTGTTTGTGTATCTGGCATGACTTCATTCAAGTCGTAATTATGTTTTGAGAAAAAAAAATATGTAACCCGATACAGCTGAATATGAATTTATTTCGCAACACGGTGTCCGAAAGTCGTGTGCTTACAAAAACTATTGACTTATCCCATAAATCACCAAGCGGTCACCGGTGACCGCTTTCCACTAATATTACATTACATTATAGACCTTAATTGTAATGTTTAGAGACTACTTTTGTATGACCAAA